TCAACTGAGCAGCGACCGATATTGTAGAGGATATGGCTGTGAAAATGCGAGAGTTGCGTTCCTTCCATAAAAGGTAGATGATAGTTTGACACAGCAGCTTGATGATGGATTTCATAGGAGAAGACAAAGATTGTCTTTGATTGACCCAGACCGCCACAGCTTGAAGAGACAAACATTTTTTTACTTTTGGGACCAACACTGAAATTATGGTGATTAACATCTAAAGTTGAGTTTGTTTTTAAACAAGTTTTCTTTCCAAATATATATTAGATACTTTTCTATAAATCGACTTATATTCTTTTAGTCGTTCGTCGATATTGTTTATAGATTATAATATCGCCACATAAAGTATATAGAAAATTACAGAGGATTTTGAAAAAGAAAAAAATGAATTTGAAATTTAGTGACTAATATGTATGTAGATCCATATAGTAACCAATTAAATATCAATATATTCTAGTTATCAATATTTCTTGTCTTTTCAGCTTATTGTTTTAAACTGCAAGCGATATATATAATTTTCGTTTACTTCTTTTTCTCTTCTTTTATAAACTAAAAAAAATATTTGAAAACTATAAGGTCAATTTAATTTTATTAAGAAAATATCAGAATTAATGGAACCTAGTGGATCATTCATCTATTTTCAAATGTACATAAAACAACTCATTGAGCAAACATCAATTAAAAGGTATCTATTTTTGGGATTACAAGGTATAGTTAAAACTTATAAGCAATAGATAAGAATTTCAATAATACGTTATACAACAACAATTAAATGTGTTGGATGGACTTAGACTACTCCTAAATTTATCCTTCTAACTAATTGCAGTCAACTAAGTATATTACAACTAGCTAAAGATTAACTCGGTACTCCGTCCCGCCTTTTTCTCCCTCCTCTTAACTTCCACATTTGTTACTGTCTGAGAGAGAGAAGCTCAAAAGTTACAAATTAGAGCTTATTTTTATTAGCCCTTCATCTGTTCGTTAGCCTTTAGATTCTCTCAATTTACACCATATTATTATTAGCCTTAGGAATTTAGATATTATCGATTAGAAATTTTTTTACGTATACTGCAAAATGAAAATAAAAAAGACTAAATTCATGAGTTTTGTTACCAAACAAATGGTCTTTACAAAAATATTTGAATATTGTTCTATAATCAACTTATATTATTTTGGTCGTCGTAGATATTGTCTTTTCAATAATAATGGCGTCATATAAAGTATATGTAATGAGAAATGAGAGAAGCTTTTGGAGAAAATACCAAATTTAAAATTTACTGACTAATAGGTCAAGATCCATATGGTAATCAAATAAATATCAATTATTTTTCCGTTATCAAATTATGTAGTCTTCTTAGCTTATTGCTTTAACTTCAAAGGCACATAAAAAAAAAATTCATTTCATTATTTTTTCGTATAAACTTCAAAAAAAAAAAAAAAACTCGAGAGCTATAGTTAAGGCTATTTATATTTGAAAGAAATTATTAAAATTAATGGAATTTAATGGGTCATTCATTAGTTTGAATTTGTATAGTAACTCATTAAGTTCTCTCGTATTCCTCCTTGTTACGAGCTAAACTCTCTCCGTCTTTGTACTCTTCTCTCCATTCTACTAAGTTTTTTTTTCCATGGAATATCGACGCCTTGTCCATGGAGAGATTCTTATATGGCCAAAAGAATGATGCCTTGTGTTCCAAGAAACAAGAGTGTTCTAGAGACCGATCGATCGTGAAGAAGACAAGGGAGATGGAGATTAAAAACGACAACAAAGAGAACATGACGTTTGGCCCGAGGAAGGAGAAACACTTGGTCGTTAATGGCCGAAGCCCTACAGAGGACATGGTCATTAAAGATGCAACCAGAGATTATCATAACACTTCGAAGAAGCGACCATACAAGAATCTTATCAAAGGGCAATGGACGGCGGAAGAAGATAGGTATTTAACTATACATATACATAGATATCTGTCTTTTCAGATTGATTCATGCGTCTATATACGAGAGTCTATATATATATATATATGCGTTTGTAGATTGATTCATGCGTCTATATATGAGAGTCTAAAAATATATTTATGCGTTTGTAAATCCGAAAATATATGTATAGGAAGCTGATAAGGTTGGTGAGGCAACATGGGGAGAGGAAATGGGCAATGATCTCGGAAAAACTTGAAGGAAGAGCAGGCAAACAATGTCGTGAGAGATGGCATAATCATCTCCGTCCTGATATCAAGGTTTTTTTTTTTTTTTCTCTAGATCTCTCTATGTATATATAAATATATTTTCTTTGGTTTTATATATAACATAGTATTGTCTTGGTCTTCTAACATAAGTATCTCTTTACGTTTTTGTCGATTTTTTTTCCCAGAAAGATGGATGGAGCGAAGAAGAAGAGAGGATTCTTGTAGAAGCACACACGAGAATTGGGAACAAATGGGCAGAAATCGCTAAACTCATACCAGGACGCACCGAGAACTCTATCAAGAACCATTGGAATGCGACTAAACGACGCCAAAACTCAAAACGCCAACAAAAACGCCAAGCAAACGCAGTTAACAACGATAGAGATCTCTCACCATCAGCTAAAAGGCCATGCATTCTCCAAGACTACATCAAAAGCATCGACAATAATGACACTAACAAGGGCAATGGCGAGAACAAGTATATCATGAATACCAACAGTGTTGTTTCTACACCGAATCTTGATCAGATATATTCTGATGGAGATTCATCATCGTCTGTCCTTGGCGATCCATATGACGAAGAGCTGGTTTACTTACAAAATATCTTTGCAAACCATCCGATTTCTCTTGAGAACATTGGTTTGAGCCAAACTTGTGATGAGGTAAACCATTCTTCATCATCTGGATTCATGATCAAGAACCCTAACTCGCACAGCAATGTTGAGACGCATCATCATGATCAGGCAATGGTCGCAGTTCCTAGTAATACACCGCACCTTGCGTCAGATATCTACTTGTCTTATTTGTTGAATGGTACGACGTCGTCTTACTCCAACCCTCATTTTCCGTCTTCCTCATCGTCGTCCGCGTCATCCACCACCGTAGAGTACGGAGGCCACAGCGAGTTGCTTGTTCCTCAAGCTAACTCTACAAGTGAAAGAAGAGATATGGATCTGATAGAGATGCTTTCTGGTTCTATTCAAGGTAGCAACACCTGCTTCCCATTGTTCTAGGCTTCTAGCTACCCATTTATGCTCGTGTGATGTCATATGATCATCATTATCATTATGATCATTCTCTATCTTTTTTTTTAAATAATTGATTATCTTAGAACTTTCTATAGATCATAAGATTTCAGCTTAATTCTTTTGGTATCAAAATAATGAATTAGGGTTTATGTGCTTCTTTGTAGTCGAAAACTGAATTTCTTCAATTTCTGGTTTAATCTTTCGGTACTTTTTTTTGTTACTTTTCATTTTATTAAGTTATTATGTTATTCAATTAATTTAGTGGTTGTTTTAGCTAGAGATGAGTGAGATATTGATTCCCACTTACGTTACGAAATTGGTATTAATCTAAATTTAAGTCCATTAATTCAATAAAATTCATACTCAAACTAGACTTTTATTCGAAAAGAGTTGAACAACCTTAAACAAACAAAGACATAATAATCCTTATATCCCTTTTCCCCTACATATTTTTCGAAACCTCGGTTATAGATAATATTTTACAAACCACGCGTAAACCGTTTACACAAAACAATGAACTGATATCATCCAATAAACCATAATATACAACCTATTAGACCATCTCCAATGGTGAGAGACTCATAAAGATTTTCATCTTGTTTTTAATATATTTTGTGTTACTTACACATATATGTATATTTGTGAGAGATTTTTAGTTTTTGAACTTTCAATGGTAGGTTTTTTAAACAGAGTTTCTTAAAAAAAATAATTTTTTAAATTATAAAAATATTATAAAATAAATTTAATTCATTAATTTAAATTGCAAACACATACAAAAATACATTAATAAACACAGAAAAAAATCGAAAAAAGAAAATTTGAAATTTTAATCCAAATGTGTTCCACTAAATCACTTTTCAATCATCTATGCGTCCTTCGATCACAAACATCGTCTCGAATAACTCTCGATTTCACATGCATGAAAGAGAGAAGGATGCACCGATAAATAATCTTGAAGCTTCGCCCGATATGTTCTGAAACTTTTTTTCTTTTTTTCCAGCAATAATACCAAAAGAAAAGAGATAGATAAATGGAAAAAAAAAACAAAAAAAAATTTCATCTAATCAGACCTTGCCACATCATAGTCTTTTATGGGTCTCTCAATTCCTCTCATGAGAATCGGTTCTCATCAATTAGACTATTTAATCTTTTTTTTAATGCCAAATTAACATGAGAAACTCTTAACACCCCATTGTTGGAGATGGTCTTAAACCTTACCCAATTTGAAAACCGACTCGAACCTTTTAAATCATTATCTAACACAATAATTCTGAAATCATTTTTTCATATCGAGAAGAACCAAAAGGTTTGAGTTTAAAAAAAATCGAAGTTGATGTGCTGCCTAAGGCGATGCTCAGTTTATTATTTTTGTTTTCTGCCAATTTGGACGTTTTTCCCTCAGTTTCTTTGTCTATATCTCTTTTCAATGGGTCCAGTGAGTTATACTAATTCTATCCATTCACAGATCACAAATTTGGCTCACCCAATCAATACCACACATTATTATGTCATATCACAAACACACAAAAGACAAAGCATACGTGACCACATTCTCTATATCCTTCACTTCTATCAATCATATCAACCATTACATAACCGAACCGGTATCATAACCCCGAACCGGAGTCCTGTTTTCCAGAACCTTTAGCATACGTTAGCAATGTTGCGTGATAACGTATCTAAGTCGATGAATATAAAATTACATAACCAATAAATTGTTTTGTTTAGACTCAAATTTCGTTTTGGAATAAGAAAACCACAATACCGGTCTATACCGTAAGATAACCGAATACGTATAAAGAAAAGTAACGATAAAAACTGAAAAAGAAAAAGACCAAAGAGGAAATTAAAAGAAAAAAGAAAAATCAAAATACGAAAAACGAAAAATGTCAGAGGTAGAGGAAGGAGAAGAAGAAGAAAGATCGAGTGCGGTTACAGGTTCGAGAAGTTTCGATCTTCCCGATGAAGTTCTTCAAGTTCTACCGTCCGATCCATTCGAGCAGCTAGATGTGGCCCGCAAAATCACATCCATTGCTCTCTCGACACGTGTCTCTGCTCTCGAATCAGAGTCGTCCGATCTCCGGGAGCTTCTCGCCGAGAAGGAGAAAGAAATCGCCGAGCTCCAATCTCACGTGGAGTCTCTCGACGCGTCTCTCTCCGATGCGTTACAGAAGCTTTCCCTCGCCGACGGTGAAAAGGTCCGACCCGATTTTGACTTCTGACCCGACCCGAATCGATTTTCAATTTTTCCTTTTCAAAAAATTGTTCATTTCAAAAAAATATCTGCAGGAGAATCTGCTGGGAGAGAATGCTTCGTTGTCTAGTACTGTGAAGAGACTCCAGAGAGATGTCTCAAAGGTAAGACTTTTTGGTCTCTTCTCTTTCTAATTTTGGAATTAGCTGAGTTTTATTTAGTGTCCAATTAGAAATTAACAAAAAAACGATTTTAAGTTTTTGGAGCTTGAAAGATGTTTCAATGGAGGTTACATGGAAATTTGATTGATATTTTTTGCGAAATTGGTGCAGCTTGAGGGATTCAGGAAGACGCTTATGATGTCTCTTCAAGATGATGACCAAAATGTATGAAAATTTCACTTTCTTGAATTTTCTTTGAATTGAAAATTCACAATCTTGAATTGATTTTGATTTTGGTTTGGTTTGGTTTTAATAGGCAGGAACAACGCAAATCATTGCTAAACCAACACCAAATGGTATATACATAGTTCTTGCTTTCTGCTAAATTTGTGAAAAAAAATCTTGATATGCTGATTTTCTTTTGAGAGTTTCAGATGAAGATTCTCAATTTCAACCTTCAAGACATTCATCAATCCAATCTCAAGCTTCTGAAGCTATTGAATCAGCTACAACGGACAACGAAAACGAAGGTAAATCAATCTCAAAGTCTCTTAGCCATTATGTTTTTTGTGTGAATAACGTGCAAGATTTTTGTATTTTACATCGCAGCTCCTAAACCGGGTTTAGCAAACAGTCTCCCATTAGTATCTCAAACCAATACTCCTCGGCTTACTCCTCCTGGTTCACCACCAACACTATCTGCTTCCACTACTCCTAGAACCACCTCGAGACCTCTCTCTCCTCGTCGCCATTCTGTTTCATTCTCCACCACAAGAGGCATGTTTGATGATACTAGATCTTCTATTTCAATCTCAGAGCCTGGATCCCACGCCGGTAAGTTTAAAAAACCATGCTTTTTTCGTGTAGAGGTTTTGAAACAACGCGATTTGCTAACCGGTTTGTTTGTTATCTCTCTGTTTTCAGGAAGAACTCGTGTTGATGGAAAAGAGTTCTTCCGACAAGTCAGGTAAAAAAAAAAGAATTCTGATCAGAAACATTCTTACCACATAGCATTGTCTATAACATATCCCCATCTTGTTCTTGATTCTTGATTAGGAGCCGGTTATCTTACGAGCAGTTTGGTGCGTTTCTTGGAAATGTGAAGGATCTTAACGCTCACAAGCAAACAAGAGAAGTAAGGATCTTAACGCTTACAAGTAAACTTCTTTCGATTTCAAAACTCAGATTCTGAATCGATTCGCAATGGTTTGTTTTCCAGGAAACGCTTAGGAAAGCTGAAGATATATTTGGAAGTGATAATAGAGATCTCTACGTCGTATTCGAGGGTTTGATCACTCGCAACGCTCACTGAGAGTTTGCTTCTTTTATTACACGTAAAAAAATTACTTAAGATTCAATCTGCAAAATATTCAATTTCTTTGTTTTCTTGGCCGTCAAGTAAGACCAAGTGAGACTGACAATTTGATTGTATCATACTATCATTTATGTGCTCTTCGTGTATCTATCAATCTCTCACATCTTCAATAAATTACATCTCATCATCCAAATGATTGTTTAAATTTCAAATGTGATACAAATGATTGACTTGAGTAACTTTGAAAATTAAACTAATATAGTTTTAAATAAGGAATTGATTGAATTCTCCGAGACCGAATCTCACATGTGCTCATCAACAAAAGCTTTGAGATGGTTAAACGAAGATCCTCCTTCTCTCGCCGTCTCCGCCGCTAAATCTCTCCACCTCGCCGCGTTTCTTCTAAACTCCTCCGCCTTCTCCTCCATAACTTCCTCAATGCACCGCCGTATCTCTTCACTCTCCACCACAACCACTTCTTCCTCTTCTTTCTTCTCCACCACCCTCACACCTGTCTTCCAACACTCTTCAAGGAGCTTCGCGTTCGTCATCTGATCAGTCCACTGAGGAAACGCAACCACCGGAACTCCCGCGACCAAACTCTCAAGCGTCGAGTTCCAACCGCAATGCGTCACGAAACAACCGATCGATCTATGTTTCAAAACGCTAAACTGATCGCACCAAGAAACCACCATTCCTATCTCATCGAGCTCTTCTCTGAAACTCCTTATGATCTCTTCTTCTTTCTCTTCACCGTCTTCTTTACTTCTGTACGATTTATCCGTAATCACCCACAAGAACGGCCTACGACTCTGTATCAACGCCTCGCAGATCTCCAAAAGCTGTTTCTTGCTCAACACGGCAAGTGTCCCGAACGAAATATAAAGCACAGACGAATCAGCTTTTGTATCCAACCACTCAATGTACTCAGCTCCAGTCTCCGAATCAGTCCTCGAGGTTATCAACGGACCGATGGGGACGATCTTGGCATGATCAAGAACCGAGCCTAGAGCTTCTTGTTCAAGCTCTTGGAAACTGTTGACGAGGATCTTAGGGTTTTCCTCTTGCTTCAATGACTCCATCTGTGCTCTAAACGCCGCTAGAATAAACGCGTAGGCGTTTGTAGGGACGATGAATGTTGGAAGATCACGGAGACGGAGCAGTGGCAGAGACGGTAATTTAATGTAACCGGAAGGGTTGTTGTTAGCCATCTCTGAGATCGCTTCTTCGTAGCCGTTGAAGTAATGGTAGAAGATGGAGAAGACAGTTATGGGTTGGACCCAGAGAAGAGCAGAAGGGATGTGAAACTCACGCGCTAGCTCAGCGACCCAAGTGAGGAGGAGCGTGTAAACCACGCAAGTAAAAGGCCGGTTTTGACTTCGGTTATCTTCGATAAGTTCGGTTAGGGTTTTTTTGCCGCGTCGTCTTATATCGGACATGTATTGTCCTGCGCTGTCTCTGCGAGATTTGTCGGAGGCAGTTGAGGATTTGTAGCCGTCGTCGTGGCCGTCGGAGTAAGTGGAGAAGATTAGGGTTTCGGGAACGTTTTCTTTGGAGAACATGCGGCGGTTGTAGGCGGAGATTGGGGCGGCGAAGGTGACTCGAGCTCCGGTGATGGTTCCGGCGAGGCGTTTGGCGAGCTCGAGAGATGGGTTGATGTGGCCTTGTACTGGAAATGTCACGAACAAGAAGTGTGGTCCGGTGTGTGATGATTTCGAATCATTGTTGTTGTTATCCATTTTTCTGCTTTTTTTTTTTGATCTTGGATGGTATATAACTCATGAAGATAACAAGTTTGGATTTATATAGAGATTATCACTGACACAGATCTAAGTGAAATGTGAAAGATATTATTATATATTAGTAAAGAAGCTAGAGCAACCCACTAATTATGTACGTTGGACAATTCAATTTTTGTGACGTTAGTGATGACGAAAATTAAAAGATAGATATGAGTAGTACAATACCATTTTGGCCAGCAATATTAAATTATAAATATATGTATGCTATGTAAAGATATTAAACGAACGAGAACATTCAACGTACGTGAAATAATAGGATTCTATAACACTAATTTCGAGATCAGGAATAGAAAAAGACCGAATTGATTGAGACAGTATTTAAAAGTGACCATTTATCATTGATTCACCAAGTCTACTAGTCTTAATTGGCTCGTTAAATCTAAAGTAGGAACTTATCAAAAAAAAAAAAATTGAACAAAAAAAAGAACTTATCACAAAAAGAAAAAATCTAAAGTAGGAATATGTCAAAGAAAAAATACTGTATGCAGAAAAAGAGTTACACCAACGTTTTTTTATAAATAAAGAGAACGATTGGTTAAGTTATGGTCGAAGATCCGTGAATATATGCTTGAGTAAAAACAATGTATTAAAGTGTAAGTTATCAAGAATTTTACAATATTGGTTGATTAGATGACACTAGCAGTAGCAGCAAAGAGAATCACCACTAACTCAACTCAGAAATTATTTAAGATTAATTGAACATGGACATCATATATTGTGAATCGCGTTTCAAAAAAGTGGTTCTTATTATAGAAAAACATGCATCGCAAAACGGCAAAACCGTCTCATCATCATAACATTTGCGGAATTTAATGTTGTTGGTCTACTCTAAAGGTAAATTGTCATGGCCGGTTAATTATTTCACGCCCACTTTGATCAAACTAGTCCTTACATAAACTTTACTTGCAACCTTTCAACGTCAACAAGTCCAAAGCACTGGTAGTACGCCCCTGTATTATATAATAGTCTTAGCATAGTCGGCATGTAGTATTTTAAATTTAACAATCGTAAGATCGAAATGACATTTAGAATGAAACCAAAATATATGTTTTTATTCTAATCTGAAATTAAACGAATTTAAACTTAAAACTTCTTCTTAATCATCATAAAAACTATTATAATAAAGTTTTTTTAATAGAGTTTTTTCAATATAGTTTGTTACAATGCCGTTATAAATGATTATATGTTGTTTAAGTCTAGTTCTCATTCGAAAGTATGGATTATACAGATCTTAGAGTTCTTTTTATGTCGGCAATCCTAGAAATTTTAAATTTAACCAAAAAAGTTAAATCTCTAAAAAAAATTCTATATTTAACAAGAAATAGACACATAACTCACTAGATATCAACTGTTAAAAGAAAACACATTAAGACATCTAAATGAGTACTAATTAAGGATTAATTATTATTTCGGGATTCCTTTGTCATATATATATATATATATATATATATATATATCTTTACTTGGATAAGGTTGATAGAATTAACTTTGAAAGTAATTTCTTTTCTTATAAATTTTTATAAAATTACAATCGTCGACATATTTAAATTCAAATAAAAGATATGATTATTTTATCAGTTTTTTTTATTTTAGCTAAAATCATTTTGTAATGCTGGTGATATATTATCATCATTTGAAATATATAAATGAATATTTTTTAACCGGATATGTAAGTTATGTATTAGATTGTTGTGTTAATTTTGATATATGCATGTACTATCATACTATATATCATTTTAAAACTATTTTCAAAAATAATAATTTTGTTACAATTTGAAAAATTGAAAAAATAAATTAAAAGAACATGTAATGTGAATCCTAATCTAATATAGACTTGATATGAACATAAGTTTGCTCAGTAGATTTTTAAAATTTGTTAGAAATGGGAAGACATAACGTACATTACCAAATGTTTGCAAAGTAAACTCAAGTCTCTACAGTATAAAATTTTGAAGTCTGCAAATATGCGTAGACTTAATGTAAGTCTGTTAGCACATCTCCAAATGCAACTTAATTCTTTATATGAGATTTTGTTTGCTCTAAAAACAATTTTAAAATCTTAAATTTGGAAGTTTTGAATAATAAAACTTTATATTTAAATTTTTATTATTCAAAACCGCAAATTTAAGGTTTGCAATTTTTATTTGCATTTTAGGCTTTACAATTATATATTTCATAAATAATTATTTTAATTTTTATGTTTATCATTCTAATTCAAAGAATTTTATACCTCATAAAAATTTCATATTTATCTTTATAAATTTTATATTTGCATATAAAATAAATTATAAACTGAAACTAAAAATATCAATTTAAAATTTTTGTTGAAATTTGGAAGTATTATGGAAATATTTTTGTATAATAATTTGGTGTAATGTAATAATTTATAATTTAGTTGTGTGTTTTATTTATTTTGTTTGTGTAATTTTATCTTATGTAATGTTTTATTTTATTATAAAGTTTATAATATAATTGTAGTTAATAATATTTTTGAATGTATGATTTTGTTATTTATAAAGTTATATAATTTTTATTAATAACGATTAAAAATAGAAACTATTATATAATATTTTAAATTTTGTGAAATTAGATTTGAAATTTTGTTTTCGGAGATTGGCCAACCTCAAATTTAAAACTGCTTTTCGAGATGTCTTTAAATGTGTGAAGGCTATATATACATTAAGTAGATTTTAAATCAGCAAATAGTAATATTGAACTATTTTTAAAATAAAAATCTTTAAAGTTTTTAACATGTATATTAGCTATTTATAGTATTTTCCAGTTTAGAGTAGCAAATTTTCCCCTATATTTATTTGAGAAAATTTCATATAAAACATCAACTTAATTTCAATGAGCTTTTTAAATTCTCAATTTTTTGTGTGCCCAGAAAAAACTTCAAATATTTTATCTACTTATTTTAAATCCTCAATAATTATCCGTGTGATCATTTTACTTCAATTTGATTTGAGGATTTTGCTTCAATTTTGTCGAGATTTAGTTTATATCGAATTTTATGTTAATCATTGCTTAATCATGACGAGTACTATAGCTAGTTTGTTAACGGATATTTTCGTTTAGTATCGTTTCGTATATAGTGTAAACTAACTATACGAATAACAATTGAAGATTTAAAATGGGTAGAAGAAATACTTGAAGATTTTTTTTGGGCACACGAAAAGTTGAAGATTTGAAAAGCTCATTGAAATTAAGTTGAGGATTTTATATGAAATTTTTCCTATTTATTTTACCTTTCATTTTAGAAAACATATACAAAGAAATTGTACTTTAATACAAATGGACGACAAAAAAAGGAAAACATACATAGAACGAAAGAAAATAGGTAGTATACAACGTACATATCACATATCTATCCAAAACTTGGATTTCTTGGTTGACGTGGCCCAACCAGAATCTCAAATCTCTGCGGATGACGAACCATCTTCAATATCTTTGAGCTTTTTCTCCTTTTCTAAAATATTTAAAACACCGTTACATAAATTTCGTAATACATGAAGTTGGATTTTTTGTCGTTTTATCTCATCACCATTTAAAAAGTCTCAATCTTTTTCTTCTTCTACTCTCCACCATTGTCACCACTCACCACCACCTCCACCACATTATATCAGCACTTAACTCATTTTTTTAAGTGGATTCTAAAGTACAAATTATTGATTTTTCACTGTTCTTGATAATCTCAATTTTTCTTTTTCCTAATTAAGATTCTCTTTGTTTCTTATAAATCGTTTGATTTACTGACATTTTCCTAAGTTTTTTTCAAGACTCTTATTCTTCTCTTGATGGCTCTATCTGCATTTGCTTTTCCTTCTTACATAATTGCCAAAGGAGTTTTAACAGATTCTTGTAAATCAACTTCTCTGTCTTCTTCTGGATCTTTGGTTACAGATCTTCCATCGCCATGTCCGAGACCCAAGAGTTGCCATGTAAGATTCACTTCTCTCTTTCTCTGGTTCATCGTTGGAAAATATTTATTTTGGAACCTTGTTGAATTCTTGGTCAACTGTAGCTTGTTTTTGTTGAGAGTTTGTAGTAGCCCATTTACTAAAATCGTGAATTAAATAATGGGTTTACTTCATTTTTGACAGAAGTCTAACAAATCCGACCCTTTCTCTATGTTAGTTTATTGCAAGTGTTGTGAAAGTTTGCCTCTTTAGTTGTGATTTCTGCAGAAAAAGACATTTTTTGTTCTTATGTTGTTGTCGATTTGGGTTGTGTACAGTCAAACAGAAAGGCAAAAGTGAGTGCTTCACTTGCAGAGAAGGGTGAATATTATTCAAACAGACCACCAACTCCATTACTTGACACAATCAATTACCCAATCCACATGAAAAATCTTTCCATCAAGGTAAAAAACTGAATCGCACCAAAAGCCTTGATCCATCTTGTTTTCAGCTTCGTGTATTGATGTCATTTGGTTAACTCATGTTGCAGGAACTAAAACAACTTTCTGATGAGCTGAGATCAGATGTGATCTTTAACGTTTCTAAAACCGGTGGACATTTGGGGTCAAGCCTTGGTGTTGTGGAGCTCACTGTGGCTCTTCATTACATTTTCAATACTCCACAGGACAAGATTCTTTGGGATGTTGGTCATCAGTCTTATCCTCACAAGATTCTCACCGGGAGAAGAGGAAAGATGCCGACGATGAGGCAGACCAATGGTCTTTCCGGTTTCACCAAACGAGGAGAGAGCGAACATGATTGCTTTGGTACAGGACATAGCTCAACCACAATATCTGCTGGCTTAGGTAAGCAATCCCTTTGATGTCTTCATTGTCTTGCTTCGTGTTGTGGTAACTAGAAAAAGAAACTGAATCAGAACTTTGCCTTTACAGGAATGGCGGTAGGAAGGGATTTGAAGGGGAAGAGCAACAATGTTGTTGCTGTGATTGGTGATGGTGCAATGACTGCAGGACAGGCTTATGAAGCCATGAACAACGCCGGATATCTAGACTCCGATATGATTGTGATTCTTAATGACAACAAGCAAGTCTCTTTACCTACAGCTACTTTGGATGGACCGAGTCCACCTGTTGGAGCATTGAGCAGTGCTCTTAGCCGTTTACAGTCTAACCCAGCTCTCAGAGAGTTGAGAGAAGTCGCAAAGGCAAGCAAATCCCATTTCTTTTCTAGAATGCTAATTAATCCTGGTCTTTATGGAGTGAATAAAGATTTTAGCTTTTGTTGTGTATAGGGTGTGACGAAGCAAATAGGCGGGCCAATGCACCAATTGGCTGCTAAGGTAGATGAGTATGCTCGAGGAATGATAAGCGGGACTGGATCAACACTTTTTGAAGAACTCGGTCTTTACTATATTGGTCCTGTTGATGGGCACAACATAGATGATTTGGTAGCCATTCTGAAAGAAGTTAAGAGTGCAAGAACCACAGGACCGGTACTTATTCATGTCATAACGGAGAAAGGTCGTGGTTATCCTTACGCAGAGAGAGCTGATGACAAATACCATGGTGAAAAGTGGACTCAAATGGATAACGTTTTTTCTTTAGAACCACAAGACCGGTACTAAAACATAGATATTGATTCTCTTTCTTGCAGGAGTTGTGAAATTTGATCCAGCGACTGGTAAACAGTTCAAAAGTAGTAACAAGACTCAATCTTACACAACTTACTTTGCGGAGGCATTAGTTGCTGAAGCAGAGGTAGACAAAGATGTGGTTGCGATTCATGCAGCCATGGGAGGTGGTACCGGTTTAAATCTCTTCCAACGTCGCTTTCCAACAAGATGTTTCGATGTCGGAATAGCTGAACAACACGCGGTTACTTTCGCTGCGGGTTTAGCTTGTGAAGGTCTTAAGCCCTTCTGTGCTATCTACTCGTCTTTCATGCAGCGTGCTTATGACCAGGCAAGTTTCAAACCATCTTCAACGTTTTTACTTTCAGATGAAACAATTTTAGAAACTAATAGAGTATGTGACTGTTTTCTGTAGGTTGTACATGATGTTGATTTGCAGAAGTTACCTGTGAGATTTGCGATGGACAGAGCTGGACTTGTGGGAGCTGATGGTCCAACACATTGTGGAGCTTTTGATGTGACGTTTATGGCTTGTCTTCCTAACATGATAGTAATGGCTCCATCTGATGAAGCAGAGCTCTTTAACATTGTTGCAACCGCTGCTGCTATTGATGATCGTCCTTCTTGTTTCCGTTATCCAAGAGGTAACGGTATTGGCGTCGCGTTACCTCCCGGAAACAAAGGTGTTCCAATTGAGGTATAGCTAAAAATCTGAACCTCTCATATCGGTCTCTCTTCCTTTGATCATTTTGACAAAACAAGAAACTCTCTTTCAGATTGGGAAAGGTAGGATTTTGAAAGAAGGAGAGAGAGTTGCTCTGTTGGGTTATGGCTCAGCGGTTCAGAGTTGTTTAGGAGCGGCCATGATGCTCCAAGAACGTGGATTGAACATAACCGTGGCAGATGCAAGATTTTGCAAGCCGTTGGACGGTGCTCTCATTCGCAGCCTAGCTAAGACGCATGAGGTTCTGATCACTGTTGAAGAAGGTTCGATAGGAGGGTTTGGATCGCACGTTGTTCAGTTTCTTGCTCTCGAGGGTCTTCTTGATGGGAAGCTCAAGGTTTTACAACTTTTAACATATATATTCCTGATCATTTTCGCTGTCTTTTCGAAATCTATGGTTTTCTGATTTGATTAATTTGTTACAGTGGAGACCAATGGTATTGCCTGATCGGTACATTGACCATGGCTCACCAGCTGATCAAATGGCTGAAGCTGGGCTCATGCCGTCTCACATTGCAGCAACGGCTCTTAACTTAATCGGTGCACCAAGGGAAGCTCTGTTTTGAGAGTAGTTAATCATATACAAACACTCTACATGCAACCGAAGGTTTCTTCTTTGCAAAGATTAGTTATATGTTTGGTTTTTGTAATGTAACTTTGTTTAGGGGTGTGATTGAGATCGAGCTGTAACAACCATCTAACATCTTGTAAAAAAAAAATCAAATACATTTCTTTGTCTATCTTCATTAACCTTTTGTTGGAATAGTTGAGATTCTAGATTCAATAAGAAAAACAGTGTTTTAGATATTTTTTTTTTTCTCCATTTTCTACTTTACATTGTAATTGATTTATTATACTTCATCAATTTGTTATTGGGACTCTTTGTTATACTTACATGCTTGTGTTTTGTTTTAAGCTATGGTGTCGTTAACTAAGTTTTTGTTTTCTATTAATAAGAAAATCAAAATACAGTTAAAAATTGATACCTAAGAAAAGTTTCAAATATAATTTTCGTTTTTCTATGTTAATGAGTTTTTAATTTGATAATTTATTTAAAATAGCTACGATAATTTGATGTTCATGTTTAAATCTACAATCTAAGTAGATGAAAAAAAACAGAGAATTCATAATAATTTTACTCGAGTTACAAGATGAGAAGATATGGGAATGCAATACTTGTTATTCTATATCATCTTTACGACAAAGACATTGACTTAAGAATATTCTAAAATGATTTCAAAATTGAAAAATGAAATGAAGACGAACGTATTGCCAAAAACCTTGTAGAAAGGTTTATTTGACAAACTACGCTTACATTATAGTACATTTAGCGTTGGGATTTTCATCACTGAACATCGTATATATCTCACTTTCGCTACGGTCATCACTATTTGGTTCAATAACTATTTCTGGTTCTGCATCTTCTTCCGGTCTCTCATCGTTTTCTACAACCGTCTCATATTCTTTCTCTTTTTCTTCTTGAACCATCTCGGTTTCTTCATTTTTCTCCGGTATAGTTTCAAGTTTCTCATATTCTCTTTTTTGAATGATTTCAGATTCAACATCTTTCTCTTCTTGCGTCACAATCTCCACTTCTTTATTTGTTTCTTTCATGAGCTTTTTCAACAACTTCTCCAGATTAAAACTTCCAGTGACCAAAATCGTTTGTTTTTCTCTATCCACCACCCGTGATTCGACTCCTAATAATCATACATCATTCAAAAAAAATATTACAACATGCATTGCATACCATCATATTACTATCAGTTTTGTTTACTGAAGATTTTGATCAATATAAAAAAATGTTTCTACCTTTGAATTTGGAAATAACGGCAGTCATGATCATCTCACATTCCTCACAATTTGGTATCTTTAATTCGACATCCGATACACTAGAAAATATTTAAGAATTGAGTTGGTTATCAAAAAAAAACTTTCTCAAAGATGTATAAAAATATAAATCACGCTTACATGTTAGGAACCTTTGTTGGTGAAAAGCAACTAAACATCTTCTTAAATTTGAAACTATCAAAGAAATCAAACACTAAATTTTCTCAAGGTAAAATCTTTTCAGAAGCCTAAAACGCTTATATACACGATCACAAATATCAAGCACATACTGAAAAACTATATATTTTTTTTAAAACATATATTCACACATAAAGAATGAAAGAATACTTTAACCAAAAAATAAGATAAATTCACAATACATTATGTAATCATTAATTAGTACAATATATGTAATATTTTTTTTTTCAAATCACATGCACTTATATACACATTATTTTTAAAAGGAAGTTTATCTTTAATTTTCAATTACATTTGATTTTCTAATTATTTGATTACCAAAAACAAAATTTCTCAAATAAATAAAATTTAATATATTTGGAAATTAAAACATAAAGTTTCCTCAATTCTCTTTCTTATTTTACAAATAAATCTTTCATAATATATATATATATATATTAGCTTTCTTGGGTTTTCTAATTTGTTTAACTTAAGAAATTTACTGATTTTTTTTAATATTTCTGTACGTACTAAAGAATATATCATAAAAGAGAACTTGTTTTGAAGTTAAAAAAAGGATGCCAATGATAGATTTCAAGAAAGTTTTTTCTTACAATATAAATATATATATATATATAATGCTAGCTTTGCTTTATTTTTATTTCTGCCACCTCAACCGCCACCTTAAATATCTAATATATATATTTTAAAAAAAATATAAAATAAAACTTAAAATATCTACTTTAAAAATTGGTCCACTGAAACTAAATATTGATTTCAGATTTAAGGTCCAATATCTTAAAAGAGAGAAAAATGCAAAATTCGATTTGTACCTTCTCAAAAAGAGTACATTGTATTCAAATTTCTTAGTCCAAAACGATGAGTAGATAAAGAAAAAAAAATGCATTTCTACAAGTTTCTTTATATCTCCATAGCAAAAAATCTTTAACAAAAAGTTAAAAACTTTTGGTTTGTAAATCCTCCTAAATAAGCCGTATGAGTTGTGTTAAAATAATTCATCTATACTAATGAATTACTGAACTAATTATACAAATCAACTAAAAATAATTCACTTTTCAAAACTTAAAAATTATAAGAAATTTTCTTTAAGAATACCAAATAATTGCAAACACACAAAAGAAGAAAAAAAAAACAAGTAAAAATGAGTACAATGCACTAAAGAAATACACAGATCTTCAGCTAACAAAGACAAATCTATTATCTATGAAATTAATAAGATTAAAATAATATTAGACTATAAAAAAGTTTTAAAAACTTGTTACAATGTCTGTTCGTGACACGAATCACACCCTAGTAAATTATAAACTAAACATGTGTCTACAAAAACCAGAAAAGTATTTTAACAAATCTCATGAAAATCTATTATCCAACCAGACGAGCTAATGATAAATAACTTTATTAGTTGTAGAAAATTATTTTACTATTTTATTAAATAGGGATTATAAAAATAACGCATTTTAGGCATAATTTCCAAAGCCCAATCATTTTGTTAATGAGCTTCCTAAGTTTGCTAGTATGATCAGATTTGAAGGATTAGTTTGACTTATCACGACACTACTATAAAATCTCGGGACGAAAGGGTATGGTCTTTCTAATGAAGGTTCTCCAAAACTCATGGGTAATAACGTTTTTTAGTTTTGTGCAAATCTTTTAGCACTATTTTCTTCTTCTTTTTTTTGACCACAATTTAGCACTATTTTCTTAACTTAACTATTGCCTATTGGTCATTTAAGCTGATTTTATGGTTATGTGTTTCCAATCCTACACAAATTCGATTGATAAGGTCACACGTTACTTAGGCCCCTATCCATACGGTAGGGTGGCTGTGATATTGTATGTCTATCTGATCTGAGTGGTTAGACCGCCATAAGTTAGCAACATTTCTCGAACAAAGTTGATATGTAACATATATGTCTTAAAAGATCTGGGATGCTCCTAAGAGGAGAAATTTTTCATGTTGTAATTTGTAAATATATGACATTTTCTCAAGTATGAGTCTTACACGATTTGAATTAGCCTTCTATCTTTCACACGTGATAAGTTATATTCTTAAAAAAAGAATAACTTTCTCATTGCCTTTTCGAATACTATATCGATGAATAAAATGATTAACATAATATTAAATAATTTTTAAAAGATATATATAATTTTTAGTTTTCCAATAGAAAAATCTTAAAAAATTTAAAAAAAAATACATTAGAATAATCTTCAAAAATACAGGTTTTACTAGAATAATCTTTTTCCAACTTTTCAAACTAAACTAGTCTTTAAAAATTAAAAGTTGGTAAAAGACCTTCAAATCTATATTTTTATTTTTAATAACTAAAATGCCATTGATTTAATTTATTTCCTAAAATTTTGAAAAATCAAAATATTATTAATTTTTATAAAAATGAGAAAAGTAAAATCAAAATATTAAAGAAAATAGAAAAAAAAACTTTTCCTAAACTTTTCCTAAACCTAATCCTAATATCCCAACAAAGGAGGCGACGACAAAAAAAAATGCGATTTCGAGAGTTCTCATCCTCTCCGGCGAGGTTTATGGCAACTCCGGCGACTTCATCGACTCTGTTTTTGTCCTCGACGACCATTGATTCCGGGTAAGAAACCCTTCGAATTTACTCCTTCAAAACCACATTCGACCATTGTTCGAACAGATTCTAGTAAATTTCACTAGTTTCTTCTTTTCTTTTATTTTGCTTCCGCGAGTTTTGGTCGCGAGGGGCGATGCAAAGTGGACAAAACTGCCGCAAAGGATCTAACAGGTGACACAAAGGGTCTGAGAGGCGACGAAACTTCCTTTATCGATTGGCCTTGCCATGGAGCAATAGTGGCCGTGGCGGCTGAAAATAACTATTTTTTTGCGAAAGAAGTAAACCATAATTTTTTTTTTGTTGCAGGAATCTTTCTAAATTGTTGATTCCGGTCAATAGATAGAAGTTCCGGCAAAACTCAAGAAATTTTCGGTGAGCTTTGCGTAAATATATACAAATTTTGCTGACTTTTAATCTTCATCATGTGGTAGATTTGATGTTTGATATGGTAAACTTGATTAAGTAAGTGTTAGTTGGAGTATATGTGGTAGACTTGTTTTTTACTTTTGGTATACTTATTGGTATTTTTTGTATTTTTTGCTTACATGTGTGGTAGACTTGTTATGTAGTTTTGGTATAGAAGTGTATGTGGTATACTTGATTTCTTACTTAGGTAGAATTGTTTTCTTCTGTAGTTAGACTTGTTTCGTGATTATGGTACCTAATATAATGCTCACATATTATATGTTACAGGTTTAGAAAGATGGCTACATCTAGCGACTCGAAGGACTATCCTTCGAGAATTGTATCTGCCATTTAAGTGTTCCTTGCAATATCATAGTTTGAATTATGACTGCCACTTAACTGATTTCTCAAAACTGAGGGAGACATTAGGCGACAAGGTCTTCATTGATGTTATGAACACATCTGTACTAAAGCTTGCAGTGAGAAGCTATACCTAGAGTGCACACCTGGTTCATCAGTTCTTAACGAACCAATTGGATATTGACAGAAGGTATGAGTGCACAAAAGTGTAGAAGTAAATGTGGTAAACTTTTTTTTTTACGTAAGATAAACTTATTTTATGTTTATGGTAAACTTGTTTTATATTTAATATAAGGATTTAATGCAAAAAAACATTCATCTTTATTTTTTATTTTTAAAATTGACCATCACCTTTGAAAACTGCAAGTCAATTCTCTACTTCAAAAGTTACCCGTAATATAACCTTTCTGTCAAATAAATGTTATATCAGTAACAGAATATAAAACGAATAGTTTTAATCATACTGATTTTACAAACATCATGCCATTGAAATATCTTATATATAAAAGATGATCAATTCTCTCCATATGAGTGACACATCATCATTTTAAATTGATATGGAGATGACATGTGTCATTTTTATAATTTAAAGTTATCATTTATTAAAAAAAAAAATTTAATATCAAGTTTTAAAACACTCAAAGAATATGAACAGTTTTTTCATTAATTGATTGATAATAATTGATATTTATTGTAATTTTATATAATTCTTAACTTTTTTAAGATATTATATTTTAAATTGATTTTTAATTCTTTTGGATAAAATTTTTAAAATTATTTATAATAACATACTAATACACATCTCAAATAATGATTATATTTGTTTTATATTTATGATATTGTATTTTAAATTAATTTTTAAGATTGTTTCTTTTATATATAAAATTTTTAAAATTGTTTATAATAACATACTAACACACATAACAAAAAATAATTATATTTTTTTTTATATAAGATTTGAAAATAGTTAAAAAGAAAAACCCGCACGTTATGTGCGGGTATTCACCTAGTTTTATTTAAAATTAAAAAAGCATAAATGGAAAAAGAAAAATAAAATAAAGCTTTCTTCTTTTTTTTTTTTACTTCGTAAGTTAAAAGATTTGTTTTTCCTTCTTAGCTGAATGCAACTTAGAAATCAAACTCCAAATCCATCAGAAATCATACTCACAATTCGAACCCAGAAATCCATCAGATAACCCTAAATCCATCAGATAACATTTCCGTCAAACAAATGTTATATCGGTAATAGAATACAAAACGAATAGTTTTAAAAGTAAATGCCTCAGATAACTACGTTACTATTCATAATTACGTAAATAGGAAGAGACACTATTTAGACATTGTGTCTTTTTAATGACACTTTTATCCTCTAACTCTCTCTCTCTCTCCCACGATCCTCTGATCTCATCTCTTATATTTTTCTTTTCTTTTCTCTTTTGTGCCCTGTAAAAAA